GCAACTTCTGCCAATGTGGTTGCCTTTCCACCCTGTCAAAACAGCATATGAACTGTGCATGCTGCAGTTCATAATTGAGCAGTTGGAAGCTTTCCCTGCGTTTCAGAGCAGACTGTTTTTTGGGAGGGTGGGCTCCTCCAGGGCCCCAGGTCCCTGCCCTGGGCAGGGATGTCCCAGTAGGCAGAACAGGTTAAACTGGAGGGGAAACTGCGATTTGTGAAGGAAGGATGTGGAGGATGCAGAAGAAATCAGAAATTATGCAGAAAAAGGTTAGGTGTCAGAAGGCTGTAACGTGCAGGAAAGAACACTGGAGAAGGAGAAATACCTAATAACTTGTAAGGGCAAAACTGTTAGGTGTTAATATCTAAGTGTTTCAAGAGTACTGACAGTAATCTTTTTGCAAGTCTCTCTAAAGCCATTACCTTTGCTTATAGTGAGGCTAAAATGGAGAAACCATTTTCAGCTGCTTAAACTCAAAACTTTCGGAGAGCTTAAAAGTAGGTAAACATTCAAATACCATTTAAAAGAAGGTTCCAAGAAGTCAGGCAAAAACAGGTATGCATAGGGAGTGAGGGAGGAAGGCTGCATGGGAGAGAAGGAAAAAGGTCACAATGTTGTTGAAAAACATACGCTCCTTGAGATTGCTGTAAACCTCAGAGGAACTTGGCTTATCATTGTCAGAGCAGGCAGAGATGATGTGTTTAATAATGTGTCACTAGTAGATGTTTATGGGCCTGTCAATTTCCAATTCCAGCTAACCAAAAAAGCAGCTAAAAAGCCAGAGAAATGACCATACAAGATGAATTTGGAGTTGCCACTGCTTGATGTTTATAGAATTGGTGATAGCAAACAGAAATTTGGCATTGAAATTCAATTCATAGCAGGCGGTTGTTTGACATGTTTTGTTCAGACTTGTGGCCTAGAAATTAGTGGTCATTCCTCTTCAGAAAAAAAAAAAAATAATAGAGAGCTTGTCACCTTCTGAAAATGCTTTCTAATTAGCTTTTAGCTTTCTGCTGCAGTCAAGGTCAGCTACTCAGTGGCAGAACTCTGAGCCCTGTGCCTTTGCCCTGCCCTCAGCACTGAGCAGGTGCACACTGGGAGTCAGATTTACTCATATATTCCTAGTCTTGTCAAGATCTCAGTGAATGTTATAACAAAACTACTCTCCTTGATTTAAGTGATGCCAAAGGCAAGGGACAGATCTGAGGATTTTGATCCTATCAAGATTCATTTTGAAAAGTGCTGCTGTGGCTTAGCTTTCCTTTATCTGTGGATATTCACAGCGTATCAGACAGCACAAGGAGGAGGTGATGTGCGGGGATGGTTGCTTTTGATTTGTTAAGACTTCTGCACCAAAGGTACATTCAGTGTATCATGTGTGTCTGAGATGTGCATTCTGCCAGGCTCATGTGCTTTCTAAACTCTCTAGGAAACTATATTTAAAAAAAAAAATCTATTTGAAGCCTCCATGTAATTCTGTATGTATTTTTACTTATTTTGTACGTACATTTAGTTTCTGGTATGTTGAAAGTGCAAGATGCTAAGGTGCTTAGGGGAACAGGCAGTGCTGGAGTTAATGTTATTATTTATAAGGCTCATTGGTCAATGATACTGAGCTCTCCTCCAGGAAAAAAAAAGATCCTTAATTCACTCTTACAAAATTCAATGCCTTATTGTTCTCACTTTTCTGAAGTCACTGTTTATAACATTGCTCTCCTCTCCCCTCCGAGGAATAATATAATTTATTGGAGCAGTTCATTCATAGTCTATGTGATATCTATCTTTTGGGACAGAGATACCTTTTGCATGATGTACACACTGTTAGCCTCAAACTCTTCCTGTTTGCTTTATGTGCAAGGGTTTGTAATCAGGAATATTTATGCATCCTGGTACCCAGTTGTGCTGTGCTTGCTGTTTTCTGCTCTTCATAGAAAATTAAACTTTTTTTCTTTTTGGCTCACACCTACCTGAAAAGCAAAAGATTTGAGAATATTACCCAATGGATTTATGATTACTAGGCAGATAGCCAGTAATAAGCAGTGATATCTGATACTACAGCCCAGACATTCTTTGCTTTTTTTCCACCTTTTTCCTATTATCTCTAGGTTTAATAAACTATAAATGGGAGACATAAATGGCAGACCATCTTTTCTCCTTTTGTGCCTTTTTTTTTTTTTTTTTTTTTTTTTTTTTTTTTTTTTTTTTTTTTTTTTTTTTTTTTTTTTTTTTTTTTTTTTTTTTTTTTTTTTTTTTTTTTTTTTTTTTTTTTTTTTTTTTTTTTTTTGGAGGTGCTCAGTGATGAGATTAAGTTCAGGGTCATATATTCTTCCAACCTAGTATTTAGGAATAGGCAAATTATTGAAAAAGGTGGAAGTGATCTAGGTTTATTCATTTCTGTGGGAGAGCAGCTTTTTTGCTACACAACAATCATTTTAAATGGAAATAACAGTATTACAGATAAAGATTTAATGAATATATATGAGAAAGGCAAGATAGGAGTCACTAAGCGGTTCAGAGCCTTAGATGAGGTCACGTTTCTGACTTGTGTAGTATGAAAGTGAGTAAATCTTAAATGATCACAGTCAAAGTATTTCCAGGGTATTGCACATACTGTAGGGAAAAAAAATTACTTTCTTCCCTTTGGCTTATAAGAAAGCTATTGAGTGAAAACCAGCTACATTTGTACCTTAATGTTTCCATTGTACATATTGTTTTATTGTTTCTGAATCTCACATAATTACTGACTGCAAAATTAAAATGCCAAGCTCATTATTTCAATCCTAAGAAATAACTTGCCTTAGACTTATGCTTTTGTCTCTAATTGTAGTGTCTATGTGTTGAGCTTCATTAACTTGAAACAGAAGGAGCCCCCACTTTTGTGTTAAAGTTAATTAAAGCTGGTAATGGTTATTGTCTGAAAATTTTCTGGGTTCAAGAAGGTTATTTTGCCTCTGTCTCTGTTTTCACGCATCATTTCATCATTCGTGGTTGGTCGATTCATAATATACCGTATTTGTCTGAATTCAGTGAACTATGGGGTTTTTTTTAATCATAAAAATACAACTGAAAAATTTCTAATGGTTAGTTGAAAGCTTCTGCCTGTGAAATAGTCACTGGTGACATTTAGGATTTTTTAAAAAATTATTTTGAAAAACAGAAGCAATTAGTTTTCCATGAATAAAAGGTAACAGCACAAAACACAATAGATAGATCAATGTCATGGGCCACAGTTAATGACTTTCAGGTCTTTTTAATGTAAAAATTGAAAATTTAAAAAAAAGAGAAATCTGTGATGATGTGTGAAACCTTCAGACTGGGAAGCACAGTCTTCTGAGCTGTACTCTACATACACTCTTGGCCATGACAGATAGTATGAAATAATCATGCATATTTAAATGAATGTATAGTTTTATATTTATGTTTTAATAGCTTTTTTTTCACAGTTCTGCACTTCAACCTTAAGTGTATTGCCTGGTTTTGTGGGTTATGCTGTGTGAGATGTCCTTCTTAAAAAATACCACAAAAAAACCCACAAAAAACCCCTCCTGGTGAAAGACTGTGTCTAAGGTGAGGTCAGGGGTTTTGTAACTAAGCGTACTGGTTCAGTATATGAACAGTTGAAATAAAAAATAGAAGATGTACTTGCCTATGGGAAAAACTTGGAAGAAAGGCGATGGTATGTTCCTTGAAAAATCATACAGGTCAAGTTTAAATAAGTGTTTTGTTTGTGGTTCATTTAAAAAAAAAAAAAAAAAAAGAGAAAAATACTCCCCCAACATTACAGTAAGAGTAATTTGATTTAATGTTACATTTTATATGTTTCATATTGCAGATTTAAACTATCAGCTATATAGCTAAAGCTTCTGGACTAATCAGTTGATATGTAAAAAAAGAGATTTGAAATCTTATTCTGTGTCCAGTCAGTTTTTCAAAACAGGGAGCGTTTGCTCAGAGAAATATTGCTGTGGCTCCAGAAGGTGCCTATCAGGGATATTCGTGAAACATTTAATGGATATTCTGTGCCTGTGTGAAGCTCCTGCTGACAAAGTCAGCTCAAAGAGCTTTCAGCATCATGTGCAAAACAGAATTCTGCAGCAGAGTCGAGCTGAGGGCGATGTGCTGTGTTGGAAGGACCATGGGCTGCCAGTTGGGCTGGCAAAGACCAGCTGGTTGGCAGCAAGGTGAGGAGGTCTGGCTCAATTTGTAGGGCTTGTGTGAGCTTATGCTGTGCTTGTGATTTTTTTGAAGGGGTATATGGAATTGTGATGAGGTAAAATGATCTGGACAGAGGTCATCTGAGGTTCTGAAAAGCTGTGGGAGGTCTCGTAGGCTCCAAGGTCTTTCCAAGCCTTTCTGCTCAGCCCAGTGGCCTTGCTGCCCTAGCGCAGTTGTGGACAGTTCTGCATGTTCTTCCCTCCTTTCTGTCACGCTCACCTTCTCACCAGTGCCTGACTCAATTCCTCCTCTCTACCAAATTCTGCCCCCACAGCAACAGCAGCAGCGGGATGGGGAGGCAGCCTTGGTAGCTTTCTCTCCATCCCTGGGTGGTCTTTCTTTCCTCCCACCCTCAATGTTTCAAGGTCTTTCCTCCCATTCATCCTATCCCTACGCAGATTTTCACCTCATATTCCTATTTTCCTGCTCTGTGTGAGAAGGCAAAACTGGGAGGTGGAATTGTTGTCAAGTTCAAAGTCTTTGAGCAGATTTTTTTTTCTTGGTGGGTGACTCTCTCGTGGTACTTGTGTAAACCAGCAGCGCTCCTGGTGTGTCAGGGTAAATCTGGAGAGACACAAGGGATACAAAGCTGTCTGATTTGCTGTCTTGCCCTTTCTCTTCAGACTGCAGTTCAGCTTTGCTTTTAACTGATAAAGCATTTCTGCAGTGACAAATCCTCTGCTGCACCTCCGAGGATGTGCCTGATGCTTTCATTAGCCTTTGCCATGGTTGCCTGGCTCCATGAGAGCATAAGTGTGCTCACCCCTGTGTGCAGGCATCTCTCTGCTCTTGGCTCCAGATAAGCCCTGACATTAACTGGTGAATATGGTGAGCGTTGCCTCAGCCTGTGTGTAAGAGAACTCCAGAAGGACAGTATAAGAACTTTGTTTTTTGAGTAGGACTTTTTAGTGCCATAAACATTGACATCATTGTATATACAGACAAATATATAAGGATGAATACAGCAAATACAATCTTGCAAGTTGGCTGGAAAATACATGCTCCAGGCCCAGATTTAATAGGAACTTTCATATTCCAGTCTTGGAATATAAAGCCAGCATTTTTGTCTATTTTGACTTTTGCATTAATAAAATGAGGTCAGGAAATCTGTTAAAGTTTATCTTTAGAAATGTTTTCAACCCAGTCACCTTGTTTTAAAAATCATTTCCGTTTGTTATCTGCACATTTGAGTAGATTGTGTTTCCTTGTGATTGAGTCTCTGAAGGAAAGCACTAACAGATTCCTGTAATTGATTATACTTTAATGATACATAATGGCAAGTTCTGTTTTCCATTATTGTTACCCTACACTCTGAACTGTAACTGCTGTGATACCAGAATGCGTATTGATATACAACTGATTTAGTAACATTTTACCAGTTGAACTGTCTTGCATTAACTAAAACCATGTCTCCACTTTTTCAACAAAAGCGACCATTCCCACATCCAGGGCAGGTACCGGACACGTCTCCACACATGGTCAGTTCCCTCAGATTATTGGAGCTGGCAGAGGACAGCACTGCTGGGGATCGCTGCAATCACTGTCTCTGGCTTTCATGGGTGATTACAGATGGGAGTTGGCCGTTCTTACATTTCCAATGTTTCACTAATTACATTTTTTTTCTTTTTGATTGTCCTTTTTCAACAAGTGATCCTCTGCTTCTCTCTCCTGCTCCCACCCCTGCAAATCCTCAATGACGAGTAAGGTGGTTGATGATCTGAGAGTGTCACTTATCTTCATGATCAGTATGACCTAATTATTTACGGATGTCCCCTGCCTTTCTGTATAAATCACTTCCCTCATGCTTAGGTGGAAAACTCTAGAGCAGGGATTACTTTGCATGCATGCATGTGCTGGTGTGTGCATTTGTAAGAGCAGTTAACGCATTTGAGTCCTGTTCCGTGACTCTCACTCCTGTGTGCTCTTTCACAAATAAATAATGCGATTCAGTTGCCACTTAGCTGGACTGGAACTGGACATACAGGCTGTCCTAACCACAAGCTTGCAGGGGAGGTCTGGCAAGTGACTCAGCATGTGGAGCTGGCCCAGGTGGGAAACCCAGAGTTTGAAAAGCTGATTTAAATTTTGCATTTTGCAGGTGTTTCAAAAAGCCGTAGAGCTGTTGTCTTCTCAGTAATCATAGAACAGATACGGGAAACATAATAGCTGGGACAGGATAATAATGCAAAATTGGTCACCTCTGTTCAAAATACTGGATAGAAGCACACAGTGAAGTCAGGCAATGTACTGACTGAGGCTTTGTGTTTGCCTTTATTTCAACCTTTTTTTACTGAGAGTAGGATGGTACTTAACAATTCTGAGAATGTGTGCCAACAAATCTCATTTGCTGTATTGTAAGTCAGCAGCTATCCTATCAAAATCCTTTATTTTCCAGAAGTTTAAGTTTTCACATAGCAGTCATCATATCAAACAGCCAGCATGATCTTTCTTGACCAAAGAGCTTAGGGAAAAAAAAAATAACCAAAAACCTTCTGTTTGGGCTCGGTGAGTGCCGATTTTTGGTAGAGTCAATGTACTTTCTAAAAAAATTTGTAATAATTTTGTATTTGAGTTTCAAAAATGAAATTTTAGCTTTAAATTTCAGTTAAAGTTCTGAAAACTAAAAAAAAAGTCACTTCTGAAGTAAATGAGTAAATTGACTCTTGGGTAAGTTGAACTGCAACACAATGACTTGCCAAAACACACAGATTTTGTATTTTATTCCATGTTACATAATTTTTTAAATGTCTTAGATATATACAATGATGTAATTTGTATTACCATTCAGCACTTCAATTCTGTTAAATATAGGTTAAATATTAGTTTAATGGCTTTGTGTCTGACTCTGATTACAATTCAAATCCTCCTTGCATGCTGTTCTGAACTGCTGATGGTAATAACAGCATTTGTAATGTTCACTGTCATTGCCATCCTAGTCATAAACAGTAATATCAATTAATATGTACTTATGCTTCTGTGGTTACTGTGTGCAGGGATTAATAGAGAAATTATTTTTATTATCAGAGAACAGTTTCAAAGAGATAAGAGCTGCAAATGCAAAGCAGATTAGGTTACTTAAATGACCTTTTCAGTGGTGATATTTGAATGTTTGTAGTATCTCAGCAGTTTTGGAATATAATACACAGTTTAATTTCCTGTATATTTGTGTTCTAGCAGAACAATTTTTGGCCTGTGAAGTAAAATTTATGCTCTAGTGCTATGTATTCTCAGCTCAACTCCATATTGCAAAAGAAACCTCAACACGTTTCTTTGATTTAAAAAACATGAGTTCCTAATTAGTCGCACATAGACAATGGTAGATTTTTCCAACTGCAGAATGATTAATAATACGTAATTAAAATGGAACCTGGATCAAGAACTCATCAAGTGTCCCTAATACCATAATACTGTACCCTTTTCCTAGGCAAGTGATCCTCCCCCAGGGGATCTGGATGACCCTCAGGGAATCTGTTCCTGCAAATACACAATCTTCTCTCATAAGGAATTTTCAAAATTTGCAGTTGAGGAACTTCTTTTCAATATTCCCATGTTAAAAGTATGCAACTCATAAGAGTATTAGGTAAATTTTTGGAAAATGTCACCAAACATATGATTCATACACCGTGCACATGATGTATGAAAGTACTCTGTTAACATGCTTTGTAGTTGGAAGTCAGTGGTACCCAGATATTTACACATGAAGAACAGACCATTATTAGTCCTATAGCTTTACTAAATCTTTTCTAAAAGAGTGTACAATTTGTTCTTGCAGATTAAAAAAAAAACACCCTCCCATCTACTTGTCTCGAAAAAGCACAGATCAACAAGAGAATAATATCTCTTTATTACTTTACATGTTAACCTCCCTACACCCCTGCTCCCCAGTTTTGCTGTCAAGGACTCACCAGATGCTCAGTTCCAGTCCAGACAGTTGGAATGAATACTGTAGAAAAGCAGGTCTGGACCATATGGCCCATATCCCAGCTGTTCCATGAGAATAAATACCGTAACACTGGGAGCCACTAGATGCCGCTCTTGTCTCATCCCACTACAAGTCTCAGAGTATTTATGATTGTTTAAAAAACCCAACCGTGCCCTCCCACACGCAAAGTCCCTTTAAGGATGTTTCTTTGGTATTTCAGATATTTTGCCCTTTTTTTTTTTAATTAAACTTACAATATGACCCTATTGTTTATAGCATTCATTCCCTCCACTGTAATGTTGCACTTGTTTATAAATATTTAAAAGCTATCCCTAGACATTTTTTTTGCCACTGGCCCCTTGCATGGGGGCCATATTGTGCTATGCTTCATTTTTCTCTTTGTGTGGAATTTGCAAAATTCTGGCACGTGTTCATCTGTGTTTCTGACTGATTTCACAGCCACTTATGGTGCAAGAAGCCCTAAATCTAGTGTTTTTTTGTTTCCTTTTTTTTTTTTTTTTAAATTCTACAAACAACTTCACCTTTGCATTTTTTCTATACCACGAACAATAAGAATCTCTTGAACTTCTTGTATGTTCAGATTTTGCCATTGACGACCTCTCTGCTGCATTTGTCATGACATTTCTATGTGAGTTGCCTGACTGTAGATACCTATTTCGCAGTTCTAAATAGTTGTATAAGAATCTCTCCTTTCTGCATCTTGCAAATTATGTGGAATATAGTAGTCACTTCTTTATAGAGAAATGTTTCCGAATTCTGAAATTTCTTTTAAGATGATCACCCAAAATTCAATAAGAAAATGTCTCAGAAACCTGCCTGTCTCACAAAAGAAGAAAAACCAAAAGAAATTTGTTATAATGTCAGTAACATTGGACAAATAACCCCTCAGATGTTGAAAACATGAGTGGTAGAGAGAAACATATCCTCTTTTGTTGGTAGGGCTGAATCTGTTTCTTTTGTTCGAGTGAATTTAATATAGACTTTGTGATTTTAATACTGTTTTCCATACAGCATCAAACATGAGGTTTTTACAGCCTTAAATATATATGTGAGATAGCTTCTAAGTACTGTAAACTGCTTGTATAGCAGCCAGAGTCAATGGAAGTCACTTGCTTGAAAAATAGACACTATGTATTTTGTAAGTAACCCCCAACTGCTTGTGAATAACATGACTGGGTAACGATGAAAAATTATAGGCATATAAAGACCTCCTGCACACTCAATTAAGGTAGATTTAGATTTATCTGAGTATTCTCTGGCACATGTGGAATGCTGTGAATTGATAGGAAAATGCAGAGGGATACATCCACTGAGAAAGTCCTCTGTACCCTGGTTTGATCCCTAGAGGTGTGAGGATTGTTGGTGGGGCTCCACGGAGAGAAATGTGATTGGAACCTCAAAATGTGGAAACACAGGAAAAAGATGTTAGTGCATAAAAATGTGAGACCGAATTATTTAAATAAAGTAGAGCTGCCTTTTTTGAGAGTTTATAGAGTGCATGCAAATAAAAAGTATTATTCTGGTCTTTTTAGGAAAAAAAACCCTATTAGTGGTTTCTGGAATTAACAGCCACACTACATGCAGACCAAAGGCCAGAGATGAGAATGCATGTGGAACCTTAACTTTATTGCTTCCATATCTCTGAATAATAGCTGTGCAACTTGAAAGTTCCCTTTTTGTCATTTGCAATGGAATGATTTAATTTATTTAAGTTTCTGTGATGAACACTTAATGCCTTACACATGCAGGGAAGGATATAGTTGGTGACTCAGCGCCTGAGTCTGTAACTACAGTTCCTGCAGCGAGGAAGCTTTTTGTGGTCATTAGCAAAGGCTGACCTCTCTGTTTGTATACAATGTCTTGACCATGCAATTGTTGAAGGGCA